CGATTTCGCTCATGAAAACCACCTTTGTCATTCGGTCTCTGTCCTTGTTGTACTTTCCAAGCCTGAAAACCTTTTCAACATTTCGCTCAGCTCCCTCCATCCTTACCTCTTTAAGGATCTCTTTAATCATGTTTTTGTCCTTGTCTCTCCGCTCCTTTGGTCTGGTCCCTGTTTGTTCTTTAATGCCTGCTACTTCTACTGCTCTATTTCTCTCTATCAGCCGGCTAGTACATCTAGCTGCTTCCTGAGAGGAAGCCACTTCCATGGCAACTTCCTTAACCGCAGACCTAGCTTCAGGGCTCTTTTTAAGCATTTCAGCAAATGAGATCTGGGTTGTGGTGGTCCCCTCCAGAGTAGCATTCCCATCTCCCTGGGGTACGGTTTGTGCCTGGTATTGTGGAAGAGTCTCCTTTAGGTATCTTATCTCCTCCTTTGCTGCCCTTAAATCATCTTGCAGGTTGGCTACTGTCTCCCTCATTACCCTCAGTCCTTCACTGAATTCATTCCGCATTTGCTGGAGTACTTCCTTCATCCAGGCTTCCTGTTCCACCCCATCCTCTGGGTTTGTTCCAGTTGTGAATGTCCTGCGTTTGGCAGTCAGAGTTCGTCTCCCTTCCATGATTTCCCTATGAGTGTGTGTGTGTGAGAGAGAGAGAGAGAGAGAGAGAGAGAGAGAGAGAGAGAGAGAGAGAGAGAGAGAGAGAGAGAGAGAGAGAGAGAGAGAGAGAGAGAGAGAGAGAGAGAGAGAGAGAGAGAGAGAGAGAGAGAGAGAGACAGAGAGAGAGAGAGGGGGGAGGGAAAGAGAGGGAGGGAGGAACAGAGAGAGGGGTGGGAGCGAGAGAGGGGAGGGGAGAGAGAGAGGGGAGGGAGAGAGAGAGGGGAGGGAGAGAGGGGGTGAGGGAGAGAGAGGGGGAGGGGGAGAGAGAGAGGGGGGGGAAGAGAGAGAGGGGGAGGGAGAGAGAGAGAGGGGGAGGGGGAGAGAGAGGGGGGAGGGGGAGAGAGAGGGGGGAGGGGGAGAGAGGGAGGGGAATGTGTGTACTCACCTATATGTACTCACCTATATGTGCTTGCAGGATCGAGCATTGACTCTTGGATCCCGCCTTTCTAGCTATCGGTTGTTAAGAGCAATGACTCCTGTCCCATTTCCCTATCATACCTAGTTTTAAAAGTATGAATAGTATTTTCTTCCACAACCTGTTCCCCAAGTGCATTCCATTTTTCTACTACTCTCACGCTAAAAAGAAAACTTCCTAACATCTCTGTGACTCATCTGAGTTTCCAGTTTCCACCCATGTCCCCTCGTTCTGTTATTATTACGTGTGAACATTTCATCTATTTCCACTTTGTCAATTCCCCTGAGTATTTTATATGTCCCTATCATATCTCCTCTCTCCCTTCTTTTCTCTAGTGTCGTAAGGTTCAGTTCCTTCAGCCGCTCTTCATATCCCATCCCTCGTAACTCTGGGACAAGCCTCGTCGCAAACCTCTGAACCTTCTCCAGTTTCTTTATGTGTTTCTTCAGGTGGGGGCTCCATGATGGCGCGGCATACTCTAAGACGGGTCTCACGTAGGCAGTGTAAAGCGCCCTAAAAGCTTCCTCATTTAGGTTTCTGAATGAAGTTCTAATTTTCGCCAGTGTAGAGTACGCTGCTGTCGTTATCCTATTTCATGCAGTCTCCGTGGTGTAGTGGTAAGACACTCGCCTGGCGTTCCGCGAGCGCTATGTCATGGGTTCGTATCCTGGCCGGGGAGGATTTACTGGGCGCAATTCCTTAACTGCAGCCTCTGTTTAACGCAACAGTAAAATGTGTACTTGGATGAAAAAACGATTCTTCGCGGCAGGGGATCGTATTCCAGGGACCATAGGATTAAGGACTTGCCCGAAACGCTACGCGTACTAGTGGCTGTACAAGAATGTAACAACTCTTGTATATATCTCAAAAAAAAAAAAAAATTATATGTGCCTCAGGAGTTAGATTAGGTGTCACATCCACTCCCAGGTCTCTTTCTCGAATCGTTACAGATAGGCTGTTCCCCTTCATTGTGTACTGTCCCTTTGGTCTCCTGTCACCTGATCCCATTTCCATAACTTTACATTTACTGGTGTTAAACTCCAGTAGCCATTTCCCTGACCATCTCTGCAGCCTGTTTAAGTCCTCTTGGAGGATCCTACAATCCTCGTCTGTCACAACTCTTCTCATTAATTTTGCGTCATCTGCAAACATTGACATGTATGATTCCACTCCTGTAAACATATCATTTACGTAAATTAGAAAGAGGATTGGTCCCAGCACCGATCCTTGAGGTACTCCACTTGTTACTGTTCGCCAGTCCGACTTTTCGCCCCTTACCATTACCCTCTGGCTCCTTCCTGTTAGGTAGTTCTTCACCCATACTAGGGCCTTTCCGCTTACTTCTGCCTGCCTCTCAAGTTTGTATAGCAGTCTCATGTGCGGTACCGTATCAAAGGCCTTTTGGCAGTCAAGAAATATGCAGTCTGCCCAGCCTTCTCTGTCCTGCCTTATCCTTGTTACTTTATCATAGAATTCTAAAAGGTTTGTTAGGCATGATTTCCCTGTCCAGAACCCATGTTGGTGCTTGTTTACAAACCCAATGCTCTCCAGGTGCTCAACAAGTCTTAGCCTAATTATTCTTTCAAGTATTTTGCAGGGGATGCTTGTCAGTGATACGGGTCTGTAGTTAAGTGCCTCCTCCCTATCACCTTTTTTGAAAATCGGTACGACATTTGCCTCCTTCCAGCAACTGGGCAATTCTCCCGACATAAGTGACTCATTAAAGATCATTGCCAGAGGCACTGTGTGTGTGTGTGTGTGTGTGTGTGTGTGTGTGTGTGTGTGTGTGTGTGTGTGTGTGTGTGTGTGTGTGTGTGTGTGTGTGTGTGTGTGTGTGTGTGTGTGTGTGTGTGTGTGAGTGTGTGTGTGTGTGGACAGGTCTATCACAACACAGTTCATACCCCCCATGTTTACGCCACCAACCCATGCATGAGTGTGTCCAGCCCGCGTGCTGTTGTCACTCACACTAAAACAACAAGTTGGACTTCCTCCTGAAGCATAATTTGTATTGCCACCCACACTGCCGTAAATAATAACATTTCACTCACCTGGGTACAGAGAGACTCGAACCCCTGACTCCAGGAACAGGACTCAGTAGCTCTTTCACCTGTACTACGGACACCGTTAATAAGGAAGGATTCCAGAAGTAACTACTTGCTTCTGGAGTCTTAGCCTTTGGTACGCTTTGTGTCAATCATAATTTTAATTAATTTATTTATTTGTAAGTTAGTCGATGGTTCTATGACTTTTATATTCCTTTACACAGTTTGTGAGTCAGGTTTTTTGCCTATTATGAAAAATTATATATAATTAGATTATTGTAACTGTTTTTATATATCCCTCAAAGAAATTTTTAAAACGTTTTCGAAAATTTGACAAACAACATTAAAATTTCTGTATTTATAAACAAACTAAACTTTCCAGTTTATTTCATTTCATAATAGTTCAAATATCTGAAACACTTTTGTATATAAGAAATAGAACACTTTTTAATATAATCATATCAATAAAGACAATCTATGTCGTGTTGGATTTGAGAGACAAAACTATTATTTAAAATAGACGTTTCTTTAATCACCTTTAACGCAGATTGTCATAAAAATTGAGCCGGTTCTTATCATGAAATTTATCGCCCCCAGCGACACCCTAAACAATATCGGACTGACGTAGACAATAAATTTTATTGCTTCTCAATGTTTATGTTGATATAAAACACTGTTGAGTTGCAGGTTATTTGATGAGACTCTTTGAATTAGTTTAAAAATTGACTATATTGTACATGGGCTCTGTAGTGCCTGGGCTCTGTAATACTAGATATCTGAAGTACTTGGGCTCTATGATACCTGCGCTCTTTAGTACCTGGGCTCTGTAGTACCTGGGGTCTGTAGTGCCTGGGCTCTGTAGTGCCTGGGCTCTGTAGTGCCTGGGCTCTGTAGTGCCTGGACTCTGTAGTGCCTGGGCTCTGTAGTGCCTGGGCTCTGTAGTACCTGGGTTCTGTAGTACCTGGGGTCTGTAGTGCCTGGGCTCTGTAGTGCCTGGGCTCTGTAGTGCCTGGGCTCTGTAGTGCCTGGACTCTGTAGTGCCTGGGCTCTGTAGTACCTGGGCTCTCTAGTGCCTGGGCTCTGTAGTGCCTGGGCTCTGTAGTACCTGGGCTCTGTAGTGCCTGGGCTCTGTAGTGCCTGGGCTCTGTAGTGCCTGCGCTCTGTAGTATCTGGGCTCTGTTGTACCTGGGCTCTATACTGCCTGTGTTCTATATCACCTGGGCTCTATAGTGTCTGGGCTCTGTACTGCCTGGGCTCTGAAGAGCCTGGGCTCTGTAGTATCTGGGCTCTGTAGTACCTGGGCTCTATACTGCCTGGGCTCTGTATCACCTGGGTTCTATAGTACCTGGGCTCCATAGTACCTGGGCTCCGTAGTGCCTGGGCTCTGTAGTACCTGAGCTCTGTAGTACCTACATGAGCTTTGTAGTACCTGGGCTCTGTAGTGTCTGGGCTCTGTAGTGCCTGGGCTCTGTAGTGCCTGGGCTCTGTAGTACCTGCATGAGCTCTGTAGTGCCTGGGCTCTGTAGTGCCTGGGCTCTGCAGTACCTGCATGAGCTCTGTAGTGCCTGGGCTCTGTAGTGCCTGGGCTCTGTAGTACCTGCTTGAGCTCTGTAGTGCCTGGGCTCTGTAGTACCTGCATGAGCTCTGTAGTACCTGATCTCTGTAGTGCCTGGGCTCTGTAGTGCCTGGGCTCTGTAGTACCTGGGCTCTGTAGTACCTGCATGAGCTCTGTAGTACCTGAGCTCTGTAGTACCTGAGCTCTGTAGTGCCTGGGCTCTGTAGTGTCTGGGCTCTGTAGTACCTGGGCTCTGTAGTACCTGGGCTCTGTAGTGCCTGGGCTCTGTAGTACATGGGCTCTGTAGTACCTATATGAGCTATGAAATACCTGGGCTCTGTAGTATCTGGGCTCTGTAGTGCCTGGGCTCTGTAGTGCCTGGGCTCTGTAGTGCCTGGGCTCTGTAGTGCCTGGGTTCTGTAGTGCCTAGGCTCTGTAGTGCCTGGGCTCTGTAGTGCCTGGGCTCTGTAGTGCCTGGGCTCTGTAGTGCCTGGGCTCTGTAGTGCCTGGGCTCTTTAGTGCCTGGGCTCTGTAGTACCTGGGCTCTGTAGTACCTGGGCTCTGTAGTACCTGGGCTCTGTAGTGGCTGGGCTCTGTTGTGCCTGGGCTCTGTAGTACCTGGGCTCTGTACTACCTGCATGAGCTCTGTAGTGCCTGGGCTGTGTAGTACCTGGGCTCTGTAGTACCTGGGCTCTGTAGTGCCTGGGCTCTGTAGTGCCTGGGCTCTGTAGTGCCTGGGCTCTGTAGTGCCTGGGCTCTGTAGTACCTGGGCTCTGTAGTACCTGGGCTCTGTAGTACCTGGGTTCTGTAGTACCTGGGCTCTGTAGTACCTGAGCTCTGTAGTACCTGAGCTCTGTAGTACCTGAGCTGTGTAGTGCCTGGGCTCTGTAGTACCTGGGCTCTGTAGTACCTGGGCTCTGTAGTGCCTGGGCTCTGTAGTACCTGGGCTCTGTAGTGCCTGGGCTCTGTAGTACCTGGACTCTGTAGTACCTGGGCTCTGTAGTGCCTGGGCTCTGTAGTACCTGGGCTCTGTAGTACCTGGGCTCTGTAGTACCTGGGCTCTGTAGTACCTGGACTCTGTAGTACCTGGGCTCTGTAGTACCTGGGCTCTGTAGTGCCTGTGCTCTGTAGTACCTGGGCTCTGTAGTACCTGGGCTCTGTAGTATCTGGGCTCTGTAGTACCTGGGCTCTGTAGTGCCTGGGCTCTGTAGTACCTGGACTCTGTAGTGCCTGGGCTCTGTAGTGCCTGTGCTCTGTAGTACCTGGGCTCTGTAGTACCTGGGCTCTGTAGTGCCTGGGCTCTGTAGTACCTGGGCTCTGTAGTACCTGGGCTCTGTAGTACCTGAGCTCTGTAGTACCTGGGCTCTGTAGTGCCTGGGCTCTGTAGTGCCTGGGCTCTGTAGTGCCTGAGCTCTGTAGTACCTACATGAGCTCTGTAGTACCTGGGCTCTGTAGTACCTGAGCTCTGTAGTACCTGAACTCTGTAGTGCCTGGGCTCTGTAGTGCCTGGGCTCTGTAGTGCCTGGGCTCTGTAGTGCCTGGGCTCTGTAGTGCCTGGGCTCTGTAGTGCCTGGGCTCTGTAGTGCCTGGGCTCTGTAGTACCTGGGCTCTGTAGTGCCTGGGCTCTGTAGTACCTGGGCTCTGTAGTGCCTGGGCTCTGTAGTGCCTGGGCTCTGTAGTGTCTGGGCTCTGTAGTGCCTGGGCTCTGTAGTGCCTGGGCTCTGTAGTACCTGGGCTCTGTAGTGCCTGGGCTCTGTAGTGCCTGGGCTCTGTAGTGCCTGGGCTCTGTAGTGCCTGGGCTCTGTAGTACCTGGGCTCTGTAGTGCCTGGGCTCTGTAGTGCCTGGGCTCTGTAGTACCTGGGCTCTGTAGTGCCTGGGCTCTGTAGTACTTGGGCTCTGTAGTACCTGGGCTCTGTAGTACCTGAGCTCTGTAGTGCCTGGGCTCTGTAGTACCTGCATGAGCTCTGTAGTGCCTGGGCTCTGTAGTACCTGCATGAGCTCTGTAGTACCTGAACTCTGTAGTGCCTGGGCTCTGTAGTACCTGGGCTCTGTAATACCTGCATGAGCTCTGTAGTACCTGAGCTCTGTAGTGCCTGGGCTCTGTAGTGCCTGGGCTCTGTAGTACCTGGGCTCTGTAGTGCCTAGGCTCTGTAGTGCCTGGGCTCTGTAGTACCTGGGCTCTGTAGTGCCTGGGCTCTGTAGTACTTGGGCTCTGTAGTACCTGGGCTCTGTAGTGCCTGGGCTCTGTAGTGCCTGGGCTCTGTAGTGCCTGGGCTCTGTAGTGCCTGGGCTCTGTAGTGCCTGGGCTCTGTAGTGCCTGGTCTCTGTAGTACCTGGGCTCTGTACTACCTGGGCTCTGTAGTGCCTGGGCTCTGTAGTACCTGGGCTCTGTAGTGCCTGGGCTCTGTAGTACCTGGGCTCTGTAGTACCTGGGCTCTGTAGTGCCTGGGCTCTGTAGTGCCTGGGCTCTGTATTTAATAGAGTTCAGTTAATTTTGCAATCTTAAATATCTGGAATCTTTAACACCAAGGCTCAATAATACCAAGATTTCTAAATAACAGAATATTATAAAAAAATAGTATTTTCTGTAGTGTGTAGTGTGGATGACGTCACGAGAGTATGGGGCACTATCTGGAGTGTGAGGAAGTATGCTGCACATGATGCTGCAGTGTGTAGTGTGAACGACGTCTCCACAGTATGGGGCACCATCTGGAGTGTGAGGAAGTATGCTGCACATGATGCTGCAGTGCGTAGTGTGAACGACGTCTCCACAGTATGGGGCACCATCTGGAGTGTGAGGAAGTATGCTGCACGTGATGCTGCAGTGTGTAGTGTGAACGACGTCTCCACAGTATGGGGCACTATCTGGAGTGTGAGGGAGTATGCTGCACATGATGCTGCAGTGTGTAGTGTGAACGACGTCTCCACAGTATGGGGCACCATTTGGAGTGTGAGGGAGTATGCTGCACGTGATGCTGCAGTGTGTAGTGTGAACGACGCCTCCACAGTATGGGGCACGATCTGGAGTGTGAGGGAGTATGCTGCACGTGATGCTGCAGTGTGTAGTGTGAACGACGTCTCCATGGTATGGGGCACCATCTGGAGTATCAGTAATCTCATTTTTCAATATTGTTCTCCTCTTCATCCGGGCTGTTGCATCCCCAACCATGACAATTGCCAGTTGGCAAATTATGAAAATCTTCAAGAGTAAGTTTCAAAGACATGTATTATCACTTTATTTATTAAGAACACGTACTTCATAGACTACCTTAAGACGTGCGTTGTCCAGTGGGTCATTCAGATTTAACTCCACCAGAAGGAATTTGATGTTCATGTGGCTTCTCACAGATGCTAAATGGTGCTAATTATGGTGCAAAATGGTGTTTCTGGAGAGCAGGAAGGCTTTCCGTGGCATGTGTTCACTAAAGGTGCATGGAAGGCCAGTCTGCATGACACGTGAAGCAATATCTTCCCTCAGTTAAAGTTAAGATGAGAAGTCAAGTGACGGTACACCGCTTCATATATTTCTCAGTGAAATTTCACTGCGTCTGTAAACAAATGCTCTCAGACTCACAGACGCATTGAACGAAACAATCACAGATCCACAGTTTAATGGAACTTAAGACTCACGGAATTACAAATCCTCATGTTTACATAGTCTGAATTAATAATAAACAAATAATGTTATTATAATGTTCTGAACAGCTACATAGACTTAAGAAGACTGTTTTGCTTTGTCCAGACTTGCAGCATTACTGTTTAAAGCATCGTTCGTATAGTTTATCGCTCAGAACATCTATACTCTCATATTTCGATGAGAAATATTAATGTATTTCATATTTACTGATACAAAAACAAGTGATCAGTTGCATGAAAATTTATTCATACTCTTCACCCAACAGTCGATCTTTGTACATGTAGGGGACATGTGCGCCTGCAGTCATGTGCACATGAGTATTGTGCACACACCATGAAAGTATTATATGCGATATACGATTGGTAAGAAATTATTTCAATAGATACAATTTGCACACATTTATATATATATTTCATTTTCTCAGGGACAAGCAGCCTGTGTATGTATATACAATTAGCTTATATCATGGTTCCCTAGAAGGTCGAACTACTGAACTTCCGTACCGATGCAACCCCACAACAGCTGACTCACTCCCGGGTACCTATTTACTGCTAGGTGAATAGAGACACTTGGGAATAGTGCATAGTGGTGTGAAATTGTGAAAAAGAACAGTTACCCCTGACTCTGTTAAAAGACTGTGGCATGAGAAACTCTTCAAGCTGCTGCAGAATAGTTTGTTTTTATGCTAGTACGAGAAAATTATTGACAGCAGGAAATTTCTAATAACTTTCTAGAAATTAGTGAATCATAGTTCAAATTACTATAAGAACAAAATAGTTTTAAAAACATTTTGAAAATATTCAGCTGAGCCAGTGTACTACGGCAGTTCGTCTTTATTCAAACCCTGAACAAATATGATGTAGAACTAATGGGTGAATTTGCACTCACACAAGTAATATTGACTGTCAGGAAAGTTATGTGATGAAAATTATATAGTGACAAGTTATTTGGTGACAGTTTTAATTATAACCCTCTCTTTCCCTGTGTTTGATAATGACACCTTCAAGAATAAAGCGTTTCAATAGTCCAGATACATGTTCTTAAATATGTAGAAGTTTCATTGTCCACAGTAAATGAACGAATATGTGTTATTTTGTTCATAAATGTTAACGGAATTTTTTCAAGTTTCTTGGAGAGCAGAATGTCGGAAATTTCGACACCTAATTTGGTAACAACTTGCATACCAAGTAAAACGCCCGTGTCAGGAATATATTAACAATACTAATTTACTAACTGTATCACAGAGAATGGATTTAGTAGCTTTCTAGAGAAAATGGGATGTTGCCAGTAAGCAAATCCATTATTTGCGAATAATACTTCTCTTTTGAATACCTAAAATCTTCAGTCTGGAGGTTAAATATAATAACGGGTATTCTTCATGATTTATTTTAATTAAATTATCAGTAAATCTAAGGTCTCATTCCCTAAGTCGATAATGACGAATTTGGAACCTGGCAGATGGTTGTGTCCACAGCGGAGCTGGGGAAGGAGACGCCCAACCACGCCAGTGTGAGCATGGACGTCCAGACGGCAGCACCCACCACCACCACCACCACCACCACACATTAATAATCACCACGTGCTCACTTCTTGAGTTTCGCGACACTGAAATAGCAGTGCAGGCGATGAGTCACTGTAACGTGGCTGAAGTATGTTGACCACACCACACACTAGAAGGTGAAGGGACGACAACATTTCGGTCCGTCCTGGACCATTCTTAAGTCGGTTTGAAATAGCAGAGTTTCCGGCCCACCGATGAGCTCACAAAACCAGGGAAGTGTTGTATCAGGAAAATTGTAGCAATATATAATATTGACCAGTAATTATAACTAATATATTGCCCGGTTATGATACTAGTGCACCAACAGGAACAGGTAAGCCCTGTTCCTATTATAATTTAATCTCCCATGAATATATGCTGTGTGTAGTGGTAACAGTTTATAACTGATAAATTCCTCGGCGGTGCAGTTCAAGAGAAGAGGAGAGAACATCCAGTAGACCTGTAGCATCACAAGGTTTTCATAAGTCGCCATTAGGGCTTCAACCGACAAGGTCAAGCATTGATGGAGGTTACCAAACCAACTATCTATTTTCACAGCGGAATTATATGCCTTATATCAAACACTCAAAATAATTACAACATTACCAGTTGGGATATATACAATCTGTAGTGACTCCAAGAGAGAGATTCAAGCAATAACTTACTCTACAACAACGTGCAAAGAGTTTGTTTACCCATGCCTTCAACTTCTCCATGAACATCGATTGAACGGCTACGACACCTCTAACCAATGGGTCCCAGCACATTGTGGTATGCTCGTTAATGAACTTGTAGATCAACTACCCAAAGCGATGCACAACACGCCTCACATTACCCGTCATCCAATTCCTCATATTGCACGTAAATGATCCTTCAAAGATACCATCACCCGAGATTTTTCAACGAAATGGAAAACATCATCCTCACCTAAGTACTATGGGTCCATTAAAAAGAAACGTGAAACTTGGAAACATGTCAGATATAAAAGCAGAGAAATTGATGTAACGGTGACCAGAGTAAGGCTGGGACACACCAAACTGGCAGCACACGTACAGAACAGACATCAACGAACTCTGCATCCACTGTCAGGTGCCTGAAACAATCGAACACTATCTCCTTCACTGCTTCCAACATTATAGTGCCAGAGTAAATTTCAAACAAGTACTAATCTCACTTAAAATACCCTTTACCATCGAACATATATTAGGAGGCGGTGACCACTCGTTACAGGAAAAATATCAAGTAGTCAAATCACTCGTTAAATATCACCAGTCGACCAACAAATTGGGCCACATTTGACATTTGACCCGTGCCAAGCCACATTTGACCCGTGCCAAGCCACATTTGACCCGTGCCAAGCCACATTTGACCCGTGCCAAGCCACATTTGACCCGTGCCAAGCCACATTTGACCCGTGCCAAGCCACATTTGACCCGTGCCAAGCCACATTTGACCCGTGCCAAGCCACATTTGACCCGTGCCACAACAGCCAATCACAGACAACAACTGCCTCGCCCCAGCACCAAGGATCAGCTGACACCATAAACACAACACACCGCCCTACGGTGCGGCAAGTCTCCCTCTAACACACACTTCAGGTTTAGTCGCCGCGCCTCTGTCTACACCACAACGCAACAAGCACTTTTGAAACTCTTATCATCCTCAACATGAACGCGTCTCCCAACACCTGTACTGGTGCAGTCGTCGGGGATGATCCCTTCATGATAACTGCACCTACTATCAAGAAGAACAAGATTCCCCACACGTGACTGAAGGATACCCAGTGCTTATTACTAGGCCATGTCGACTCTGGAGCTAAGAAATAATTGTATTTACTAAACCATTTAGTAGCATAACTAACATTTAGTAGTTTATTGCCATTATCCGTAACTGGTGTGATGGGCTACGTATCCCCCCCCCCCAAACTTGTAAATCTGATAACACTCAGAAGAACAAATTAATAAAATACCGTTCACCATACATATATATAGTCCATTTTTAATTAATTATATTAAATTATATTACTATTAATAATTTAACAATACACAAGTAAACTCCTGCTGAGAAAATTCCCGACAGGGAGGTCTTGGGCCCCACATCACATATGCAAGACCTGTGGTGACAATTTGTCATATTAGGCGAAGAAAAAGTGAAAACAAATTAAATTTAGCATTTCAATAGCGTTGCGAGAAGCGAGAAAATAGCGTGAATGACTGCTTCTTTTGCCTTTCAAGACGTTGACAGGACAGACGCATATGCTGTGTTCATTAAGAGACAGATGCATGTGCTGTCTTCATTACGAGACAGACGCATGTGGTGTCTTCATTAAGAGACAGACGCATGTGCTGTCTTCATTAAGAGACAGACGCATGTGCTGTCTTCATTAAGAGACAGACGCATGTGCTGTCTTCATTAAGAGACAGACGCATGTGCTGTCTTCATTAAGAGACAGACGCATGTGCTGTCTTCATTAAGAGACAGACGCATGTGCTGTCTTCATTACGAGACAGACGCATGTGCTGTCTTCATTAAGAGACAGACGTTGGTGCTGTCTTCATTAAGAGACAGACGCATGTGCTGTCTTCATTAAGAGACAGACGCATGTGCTGTCTTCATTAAGAGACAGACGCATGTGCTGTCTTCATTAAGAGACAGACGCATGTGCTGTCTTCATTAAGAGACAGACGCATGTGCCGTCACCTCAGCACACGGAGGTTCCCCCTCCCCCGTTCCCACGTCCTCCCTACCATTCTCCCACTTCCCTGTTCCCTTGTCCTCCCCACCATTCCCAACTCCCTCGTCCGATGCATTCCAAAGATCTGATGTTTCTATGAGAAAAATGGGAACATCAAATGATCTGATGTTCCCATCACTGAAATATAAGAAAAACAGTTAAAAAAACGAAAT